CTCCCCGCCCACCGCCTACCCCCCCCCCCCCCCCAGAGCATAGGTTGTCAGCATGACCGGTGGAGCATGGTCATGCCATAATCCCTTCTTTATTTCTTCATTATGTTGAGATTTGGGGCATGTATGCACATGTGCCTGTCTTGTTTCTCTTTTTCTTTCTTTCTTCTTTTTTTTTTTTCAAGCTGCTGGGGCCAGAATTTGAACCACAATTGGCCATGTTGGTTCCAGCTCTCTTAACCACTGGGCCACAGGGCCAGCCCATGTTTTATATTTTAAGTGCATCAACTTGTTACCATGTCTATTACTCCCTCCCCTATTTCAAGTCACATCTCTTACCTGGACTGTTATAGTATCCAACCCTTGCCTCCCAGCCCCCATAACTCATGCTCAACACTACAGCCAGAGTGGCCCATATTCTGTTCATGTCATACATTCTATTAAAAGCCTCTAAGGGCTTTCCCATCTCACTCAAAAGGTATTTGATATTTTGGGGTGTCATGGCCAGCAAGCTTCATGCTGTGCCGTGACTGTCTTTCTCTGATTTCATTTCCTATCACTCTTCTTCATTCCGACCACATTGGTCTTGTCCCACTGCAAAACCTTTATATTTGCTTTTCTTTCTCATCACACTCATTTCAGCATGACTTGCTTCCTTATTTTCTCGAGGTCTTTGCTCAGCTGTCACCTCTTTAGAGAGGTCTCTCCTAACCACCTTGTGTATAATACACTCCTACTTTCACACCATTGTTCCATCCACTTGACCGTCCTTTTTGCTGCTTCATAGCACTTATCACCACCTGACTCATCTATCTTTTTGTCTGTCTTATCCCACTAGAATGGAAGCTTCACAAGAGCTAAGTCTTTGTTTAATGCATTGCTGTGTCTTCAGCACCGTACATTGTCTATCCCACAATAGGTCCCCAGGAGCTAGTTGTTGGATAAATGATAGGTGATATAGTAGAATGCATCCTGAAAAGGGCAACCAAGGTTGCTATGGATCTTTAAATTTTATGAGCCAGGAGAGCTGAGAATGTTTTACTCCAAAGAAAAGAAGAGATGGCCATTTTTTTTAGGCTGTTTCACAAGGAATTTCTGCATCACTGACAGGTCAATGACCCCCTAAGATTCTGATTCTTTTAAGATGTAACTCCAGAATGGAAGCATTATAAGAAGCACTGTGTGATATTAAACACCCGACCTAATAAGGGTTGATGTAATTAAATGACTAAGGCACATTCATCCCTAATGATGATGGCAGGACTTGCTGATATTAGGTTACTTTTTCTCTGGCTTCAGAAGGTAGACCCCGATGGACCTTGCCTTGCCTTGTAATTTGAGGGAAAGACCTGGTGACAAGCTATGGGATACAGAAACTATATTCCTCTTTTTTTTTGGAGAGGTTTTTTGCTGTAGGGTGCATATGCTTGCCAGAAGGACAGAGAGACAGAAAGCGAGAAACCACACCCTCAGGGGAGAATGGCCATGCCGCAATCCCTTCTCCTCCATTCTCCTCTCGGGATCTTGGGCATTCACACACATGCACCCGGCATGATTTTAAGCCACCGGGTCCAGGGCTCGAATCGTGGTCAACTACATGGGAGTCCAGCCACATAGCCATTATGCCAACTACTGGTCCCAGAAACTGTATTCCTGCCAAGGTATAAATTGACATAGTTACTACCTGGTTGTTTGCAAAAATAAATACTTATCGTGGCCTTCTTTTGAAGGAATACCTCTTTGTTTTTAACTTCATGGATAATGCTTTTCTGTGGAACAGATACAGGCAGAAGAAGGAGGTGGAGCATAGGTTGTCTGAACTGAAGTCTGCTGTGGAAAGTGGTCAAGCAGATGATGAGCATGTTCGTGAATATTATCTCCTTCACCTTCGGAGGTGGATTGGCATCAGCTTAGAAGAGATTGAGAGCATTGACCAGGAGATAAAAATCCTGAGAGAAAAAGACTCTGTAAGAGAGGTAAGTCTGGTCACTACCCACATAGCTCAAAAAACTACCATCAGAGATTTGAATGTTATGCCGGAGAGTAATAAACTTAAAATCCTTTGGGACCAGCAGATAGCGTAATGGTTACACTGCTGGACTCCTACATAGTTGATTGTGGTTCAAGTCCTGGACCTGCAGGACCAGCAGTTGGCGTAATAGCTATGTCGCTGGACTCCCATGTAGTCGACCATGGTTCGAGTCCCAGACCCGGTGACTTAAACTCATACCAGCACATGTGCATGCATGCCCAGGATCCCGAGAGAAGAATGGAGGAGAAGGGATGGCAGCATGGCCATCCCCCCGGGGGGCTTTCTTCCTTTCTGTCTCTTTGGAGTGCACTCACCCTATAGCAAAAACCTCTCTAAAAAAATTTTTTTTTAAAGTCTTGGACCTGGCAGCTTAAAAACTTATGCTGGGTGCACGTGCGTGTGTACCCAAAATCCTGAGAGGAGAATGGAGGAGGAGGGATTGTAGCCATCCCTCCTGGAAGATGATTTCTCACTTTCTGTCTCTCTGCCTCTCTCTCTCTTTCTCTGGCAGGTACACATGCCCTATAGCAAAAAATCTCCTTAAAAAAATTAAAATGCTTTTAAGTTTCCATAAAATAATTGTTTTGTTTTTGTTTTTTTTTTTAAATACTGGAGGGCACATTTGCTCAACACAGAGACAGAGAGGGAGAAAGAAAAAGTACCCTCTGAATGGGTGTTGAAATCCTTTCTCCATCTCTTCATCCTTTTGGGATTTGGGGTATGAACATACATGTACCTGGTATGTTTTTCAAGCCACCTGGGCCAGGATTTGAACTTTGTCCATGTGAGATCCCACTTCCCATAAGCACTAGGCTGTGGGGCTGACTTATTGTTGAGATGAATGGAGAAAGGCTGAAGATCTACAAGTGTAGCTTTCTGTTTAGCTTATGGTAGTGTTCCCAGTGCTTTCTAATCTGTAACACACTTCTAGTCATTTGGTATTTTCTTTTGGGGCTGGCAAGTGGCATGATAGTTAAGGCGCTGAACTCCCACATGGTTGACCATGGTTTGGGTCCTGGACCTGCCAGCTTGCTTTCTCTTTCTCTTTATCTCTTTCAAATTGAATAATAATTTTAAAAAAATAAAAAATTATTTACAAAAAATAATAATTCAGCTTTTCCAGTGAAGGCAAGGCTAAGGAAAGGGGATTCAAATTTAGTTCAAGAGATTTAGACAGAATTTTTTTTCTTTTAGAGTTTTTTCCTTAAGGTGTGCATGCTCACTGGAGAGAGAGACAGAGACAGTGAGAAGGAAAGTGAGAAATAACCCCCCTCAGGAGATGGCCATGCCACAGTCTCTTCTCCTGGGATCTTGAGCACACACACGTGTGCTCTGGGCATGAGTTTCAAGCCACCAGGTCCAGGACTCATACCACAGTCAGCCATGTGGGAATTCAGCAATGTAACCGTTATACTATCTGCTTGCCCCAAGATTCAGATTGAATTTTAAAGGGGGCTTTGGAATCATCTTCTTTCATTTAAGGGGTAGGAATATTTTAAAGCAAGTAATTGTCTTACTTGCGGTGAGATGATTTCTGGAAGAACATTCTCTTTCTTTTTAGCAAGGTCCTAAGGGCCCCCTTAGGAGAGCCAGGCAACCTCCACCATGTGTTATATCTTAGTGGTTGATAAATAAAGAGCAGATTTTGAATCCAAAGCTTTTTATGCACCTGAAGACTTAAGAACCTGCATTAGGGTGGGCAAAATGATATTTGTACCTCTGATAATTAATTTCCTTTTTAGGCATCAACATCTCACTCATCTCTGAATCAGGAGAAGCCTCCAATGAAGCCCTTCATTCTCACTCGGAACATAGCCCAATCCAAGTAGGTGGTACTATAAAGCGGTTTGCCTTTGCAGGCCCCTGCTTTTGTGGCAGTATATGAGTAACATACAAAATGGGCCTTGTTGAAAAGTCATGACTTCACCTAGGGAAGCTGTTTTTTCTCCAGAGGGACATTATCTCTCCTGATAAGTTTTCTTGATGTCTCTTCCTCAGACATTTCCTTTACAAACTTGAGCTTAAAAACAGACTTTAAAAGGAAAGAAGTAAATGAATAAACAAAAAAAAGAAAGGAAAAGGTCTAATGGAAAATTGTATGCTTCACATTTTTTTTCCTCTTATTGCCACTCTTCCTGCCCTCAGGTATAGTTTTCAAAAGGACATATTTGCCTGTCTTTGATATAATTCTGCATTGTTGAAATACTTTTCCATATAGGCTCCTCTCTGTATCCTTCAGAGCCATCAACTATAAATATCCATTCCAGTGTCATCAATGCTCTGTATAGTATTGTCCACTGTGATTGCTTATTGGGAGATGATTCTGGTCTATTTATCTTCTCCTGAAAGCTCTCGACATTACTGGCCCTTTCTGGATGCCTTTTTTTTTTTTTAAACATATCGTCCCAGGAGTTTGTGCACTTTCTGAAAAGATAACTACATAAGGGGATGAGAATGAAACAGACACAGGCATTGTCATTAAATAGAGGAGACTTTTGAATGGTGCTTTGTTTTGTTTTCTTTTCTAAATGCAATGTGATTATTTTGCAGAGTATATGGAGCTGGTTATCCAAGTCTGGCAACTATGACAGTGAATGACTGGTATGATCAGCATCGTAAATATGGAGCATTACCAGATCAAGGAATAGTCAAGGCCACACCAGGTATAAAACAAGGGGAAAAAAATAGTTGTATTACAGGTTCCTTACTCCCTTGCAATTACATTCTAACCAAGTATTGTTCCTTTTAGGAGAAGTAGTAGTCTGGACAAAGATTCTGAGTAATAGAAAGATTCTAGGCAGTATTGTGTTTATTATTAAAATAAATAGCAAATAATTCTGGGAGGATGGGGACAGTGGCAGCATAGGTTTTGAATCTCTCCAAGTATTATACTCTAAAAAACAGCAACTGGATAGCAAAACCACAAATTGATAGATATATTTCCACTTCTGGAAATAGCAGAGTAGATTATATCAGGACAACTCCTCATATAGATAACAAACTGAGCAAAATATGTTTTAAAAACTGCCTGAAGGCACTGGAGAGTGATCAAAAGAGTAGGATCTGAGGAAGGACATTTAGAAGAAAAATAGGGAGGCAAAGCATTAATGGCACAAAGACATGTGGTATTATCTGTTGAAGATATTTTATAGTTTTATCAACTGGACTAGGGAGAAATGTTCACCTGTTGAAATATTCACTTTGTAAGCCAAATAATGTGATTGTATAAAAGAAGATGAAATAAAAAAATGAAAAAAAAAGCAGGCAAGAACTGGAGGGCAGCCAACATTTAGAAAGAATCCTTAGAATTCCTTGAGGACAGGGATTTTAACTTATTGTATTCTCAGTACTCAAGTTGGTAATTGGATTATAGTAGGTATGTGGAGGTGTCTTTGGAAGGGGAATATGTAGAGAGAGGTCATCGAGAAGGTGGAAACAATATGGTATAGCAGAAAAAGTGTGTATGGATCTGGGGTGACCAGTTCAACTCCTTTCACACTTGATGGGATATCTAGCACCCTGAGCCTCAGGGTTTTTTTTGTGGGGAGAGGTTTTTGCTATAGGGTGCGTACACTCGCCAGAAAGACAGAGAGACAGAATGGGAGAAATCATCCCCCAGAGGGGATGGCCACACCACAATCCCTTCTCCACTCCCCTCTCGGGATCTTGGGCACGCATGTACATGCACCCGGTGTGAGTTTAAGCCACAAGGTCTGGGACTCAAACCACGGTCAACTACATGTGAATCCAGTGACATAGCCATTACGCCAACTGCTGGTCCCCTCAGTTTTCTTTTCTTATTTGATCCTCTTAACAGCTCCCATGAAATAGGCATTCTTATACCTGTTTTAAGATGATGGGAACCAGCAATTAGCATAATGACTGTGTCACTGGACTCCCATGTAGTCGACCGTGGTTCGCGTCCCAGACCCGGTGGCTTAAAACTCAGGCTGGGCATGTGTGTGTGTGTGCCCAAGATCCTGAGAGGAGAATGGAGGAGAAGGGATTGCGGCGTGACCATCCCCCCTGGGGGATGATTTCTCGCTTTCTGTCTCTATGTCTCTCTCTGTCTTTCTTGCGAGCGCACGCGCCCTATAGCGAGGAAAAAAAAAAAGATGAGGAAGCTGTCACTGAGAACTTATTTATCTATAGCTTAAAAGTGACCAGGCTAGGCTTTAAATCCCAGCCTTCAAACTCCCAATTGCAGTACTATTTCCACTATAACACAGAAAAGAGCAGAGTAGTACATGTTGAGTATCCATTACTCAAAATGCTTAGGAGCAAGAGTGTTTCTCATTTTGGACTTTTTTTTTTTTTTTGAGAAGTTTTTGCTATACGGCACGTGCGCTTGCCAGACCAACAGAGAGACAGAAAGCGAGAAATCACCCCCCAGGGGGGATGGCCACACCACAATCCCTTCTCCTCCATTCTTCTTTTGGGATCTTGGGCACGCACACACACGTGCCTGGCATGAGTTTAAGCCAGGTCCGGGACTCGAACTGCAGTCAAATACCTGGGAGTCCTGCAACATAGCTATTACGCTAACTGCTGGTCCCTCATTTTGGACTTTTTCAGATTTTGGAATATTTGCATAATGATGAAATATCATTGTGATGGGACCCAAGTCTAAACATGAAATTCATTTGTGTTTCATATATACCTTATACACAAGCCTGAAGTTGCATGTTATAATTTTTTAAAAATATGTCAGAAGGCATGTGCACTTGCCAGAGAGACATAGGGTTAGGGGAATGAGAAACTACCCCTCATGGGGAATGATCACACTGCAATTCTTTATCCTCTATTTCTCCCTCCTTCCAGGATTTTGGGCATGCATTTACACCCCTAGTGTGTTTTTTCAGGCTACCAGGTCTTGGTCTCAAACTGCACAGTTGGCCATATGAGATCCAGCTCACATAACCACCAGGCCATGGATTGGCCTAACATAATTTTATATACTATATTTGGTTTTATTGACTATGACTTATAACGTGAGGTCAGGTATAGAATTTGCTACTTGTAGCATCTTGTTGGTATTCAAAACATTTAGGATTTTGGAATGTTTCCTGTTTCAGGTTTTGGGATTAGGAATGCTCAGCCTTTCATTTGAAAGATTTCCTGTTTGTTCATACCTATTCAACTGTGGGCAGGCTGTAGTTTTTCTTGCATGGAGTAGCTAAAACTTAAATAGAAACTTGCAATTTAATTAAGAAAGGAGAGAGCTGAAATCAGGGTGACTTATAGTAACTAAAAAGTGAGGGAGAATATCCTACAAAGGAGAGAATCACAAAGGAGGAGTCCCAATTCTGTATATAAACCCAAGGCTAAAATAACTGAATAGAGAATTCAGCTCTTGTCCAATACCAGCAAGATAGTATTTGATGGTTTGGTTCTAGATGAGTTGATTGCCTGCTAAAATGAAAAATCAGTGCTTTTTGAGGAAAGAAACAATTCAGAATCTCTACATTATACCATTCATAATGTTTAGGATTCAATGCTAAGCTACTAGATGTGAGGGAGGAGGGGGAGAACAGGAAAATTTGACTCATACTCAAGAGGAAAGGCTACCAACCCCCAAGATAGTTTATATGTGGAAATTAGCTAGTGGGACTTTTAAGTCAGCTATTATTTCTTTTTTTCTTTTTTTTAGAGAGATTTTTGCTACTGGGAGTGTGTGCTTGCAAGAGAGACAGAAACATAAGAGACAGAAAGAGATAGTTACACTGCAATACCTCCTCCTCCATCTCCTCTTGGAATTTTGGATATGACCACACAGGATCCCAGCGTGAGTTTTAAGCTGCTAGATCCAGGACTTGAGCCATGGTCGACTAAATGGGAGTCCAGTGATATAACCATTATGCTATCTACTGGTCCCAATCAACTATTATTTCTTAGCTTAAGTATAGAGAAGAAAATATGCTTTAAATATTTTTTTGTTTGTTTGCCTAAGGGTACACGTGCTTGCCGGAGGGTGACAATGGGAGAGTGAACAAGTAGCCACATGGGGAATGGTCATGCTACAATCCCTTCTCTTCCATTCCTCCATCCTGTTGGGATTTGGGGCATGCATGCACACACACCCAGTGTGTTTCTCAAGTCACCAGATCTGGAGCTCGAACTGTAGGATCAGCTACATCTGCCTTAACGACCAGGCAATGAAGCTGGTCCAGAAAAATACTTTTAATGAATGGAAACATAAATTTTGGGTTTGTCCCATGGTGTAGCAGTTAAGTACTGTGTAAAGGGAAGGGAGCTAAATCCCATGTAGCCAACCACAGTTTGAACTGCAGCCCCTGAAGCTTAAAAAAAAAATGCTGGGGACCAGCAGATTATGTCACTGTTACATCACTAGTCTCCCATGTAACCACAGTTCAAGTCCTGGACCCGGCTTAAAAACTCACACCAAGTGCGTGTGTGCCCAAAATCCTGAGAGGAAAAGGGATTGTGGCATGGCCATCCCCCCTTGTGGGGGTAATTTCTCACTTTCTCTCTTGCTGGCAAATGCATGCACCCTATAGCAAAAATCTCTCTCTAAAGAACAAACAACAAATGCTGGGCACATTCATGCATGCCCAGGATCCTGATGGGGTAGAGATGGAGGAAAAAGGATTGTGACATGACCATGCCCTGTTGGGGAGATTGCTCTCTCTCTTTCGTCACAAACACACACATGCACACACACCGATATTAAAATAGTAATAACGATAAACCTCAGCAGACAGTAGAAACTGCGTACGAAATCTGAAACTAAAAATTATATTATCTGAAATTTAAAAAGTACTGAATGAGTTTAATAGCAGATTGGCAATGACAGTAGAAAGTGTTGGTTAACTTGAAGATCAATAGAATTTATCCAATTGGAAAAAAATAAGATCAGAAAATATTAAACAGTACTTTGATGACCTTTGGAACTATGTAAAAAGACCTAATATACCTACAATTGGAGTACTAGGAGGAGAAGGGAGCAGAAAGAAAAAATAAGAAATAGTGGCTGAAAATTGCCAAAATATGTGAAACACACATTTAAAGATTCAGAAATTTTAGCAAGCCTCAAGCAGGTTAAATGTGAAGGAATTTCTGAATGTTTCTGGGAAAATGGAAAAGTATGAGTTTATTTTGATGCAAAAAAATTTGAAATCCACTTGTATTTTTTTCAGAATACACGTTTTCCATGAATATTTTGAAGCCTCTGTACTCAAAACCACACATAAACACACCTTAGTCAAATTGCTGAAAACTGAAGAAAAAGAAAATTTAGAAAGCAGCCAGAGATATATTAGACTTTATATAAAGGAGAACAATGATGCAGAGTGTTGCCAACTTCCCATTAGAAACAGTGGAAACCCTTCTCTATTTCTCCTCCTGGCATTTTGGGCACACACAGGTATTTGGCATATATTTCAAGCCTCTGGGTCTGGGACTCAAACTATGCAGCTGACCATGTGGGATCCAGCTGCTTTAACTACCATACTACCAGCTGACTCTGCCTTCAGCCATGTTTTATTAGTCACATAGACCAATCCTGATACAGAGTAGAGAGAGGACTCTATAAGAGCATAGATACCAGGAGGCGGGAATCGTGAGGTGCCATTTTCAAGATTGCCTTACCATATGGTATATTAATTCTACGTAGACTGGAAAGTTAGAGATGAATATTTTTCCT